CTTTTAATTTTATAACTTCAAATTTTAATGTGATTAACACAAGTACACAAAGCAAAGTTATTTAATGAATCACTGTCACATTTTTATTTGATGTCATGTTTTATCTAAAGGACTTTATTCATTAACGCCCATCCCGACCCAGGAATGCCTCGACAATGCCTTTCAAAAGCCATACATGATATGCATGCACTTTTGAAATAGAATTTTAGCGGTATAATATTTTTACAAAGCAGTTTTGTATGATTGATTGATTGATTGTAGATTGTTTAACGTCCCTCTCGGGAATTTTACACCGATATGGAGACGCCACCACCTGCTGATGGAGAGCTGCAAATTCTGTCCTATACTCTGCACTCGGGGCCATTGAGCATGGAGGGATCTTTTTTGTACAGGTACCTGCTGCGACACGGGACCTCAGTTTATACTGTCTAATCCAAAGGACCGGTCTCCATGTCCCACAGTCGATTGGAACCCGCGACGTAAGGATTGACTCTTTACTCCGAGAATCATTTCTTTTCAAATTAATATGTACTGCTTCAACATTCCCCTTTTTACATGAATTTTTTCAAGTAAAGATTCATTTTTTTTTGTTATACGTTTCAATATTCAATTTAAAAAATTACATTAAAAACAATATGTATGTGGCCTGTTTCTGCAGACCAGTATTAGGTATGTAACAAGAACATTATGTTGTATTTCAATTATTTAATCTGCAACATAAACATATTTTTTTGCATATACACAAGCGGTGTTCGAAAAGTTTGTAAACTTCTGTCACATTTTTTTTTATGTCATGTTTTATCTAAAGGACTTTATTCATTAATAACCAATTTTTGTCTCAAAGACAGACTTTGATGGAGAAATTTATAATTATGTTCTGAAACTAATCCGTTTACTTCAAAGAACTGAATATTTTCATAAACAATGATGTCATTTGTTTGAAATTGGGTCAGGAAAATGACGTCAATTTAAAATTTCCATTATTTTTACCGAAACGAGTACTGAGTATATACTTAATCGATATTTTGAGTAAAAGACACCAAGCACGGGTCTGTTCAAGCTCAATAATTTGAAATAATGTGTAGAATAATTATATCAATGAAATATTGTTCTTGAGCAGGCTTGCATTCTAATTCTCAGATGTCTAAATAAAACAAAATAATAATTGTACGAGCTCGAGGTAATGTAGATTCTTCAGATTACAAACACGAATAGAAGATATATGTGTTTTTTACGAAGTAATTTGAAAAAAAAACATAGCAGATAAGATATTGAGAACATTCATCATTATTGTTTTTTAAAAAGAAATAAAAGATTCAAATATAAACAAAGATAAATATCGGTAACAAGTTTTCAACTACACAACAAATCAATCAATAACACAAGTAATACTATCACGTGACACCTCATCAATCATAACTTAACAGACATTGGCAGGAGATATATTTGTGTAGAAATCCCAAACAGAATATTATTCTGGTGGTGCTCACCATGTAACCGCTAATGTGATGAAGAAAACCGTTAAAATGGAACCAGTAGCAAGTCCTAAGGTGATCAGTGTATACCTTGTTATACAAACATTAACTCTATTACAGACATGCTATTCCCAGTGCTTTGATCCCAAAACTTTAATCGTTAACAGTTATGAAAATTCCTCAGTACCTGGTTTTAACCTTTTAACCAATGCTAAAATGGGAATGTGTACGATGGTTTGCAGCATGTTTGAGTTGTGTCGCTCTGTGGATTGGATACGTGAAAAAAAGATGTGCCGTTTTAACACGAGATTTGCCATCAGAAACGTCAGTAGCCTCATGACCGGAGGACGCATCATTCATGTTGACCGGAAAAGTTTTCCAAAGGTAAGCAACGTATCAGATATTGAAGTATTTAGATTAAAAGTAATTCTGTCAAATATTGAATCAGTTATCACTCTAAACTGAATGACTTTCAGCATCTGGCGGCCGGTTGTCCAAAGCATGCTTGTACCGAGGATGCGATCTGTCTTGAGGGTAATTGTGTACCTGTTTTAAAAGGTATATGTAAGATGCTTAACACATTTCTATAAAAGATTATCACAACAGTAGGTTCAAATAACATTTTATTGGATTTCGTTATTTGGAGTTAACGGCATAGCGTCAAATCTAATATTTTTAACAAAACTAGTGCTATTCCTTCCTCAAGCTCCCGGGGTCCATGAATAAAACCTTAGAATCCAAGTTTTCTTTCATGGAAGTTGTTGATGCAAAGCAGTTCCCTCACTGCTACTGCCGTAAGAAGCATCCTTAGGTCAAAATTTGTTGTATTCCATCTAAAGCAGGAACCATCTCTCTGTGAGTTAAAAGTTCTCAAATGAGACGTTAAAACATTTAATCTATCAATTTTATGATGTTCTTTTAAGACAAATCTGTTTGTGTGTCAGTGAAGATTACTGCACATCATTTTCTTCCTTAATAGCTCACATGAGCCGAAGGCTTAGGTGAGATTTTCTAATCAAAAGCTGTCTGTTGTCTGTCGTCGTCGTTGTCGTCGTTGAAGCCGATGTCGAAATTTTCGTCCTTGATGTAAACTTTTCACATTTTCATCTTTTTCTTAAGAACCACTAAGCCAATTTCAACCAAACTGCCACAAAGTATCTTTGGATAAGGGGATTCAAGTCAAGACATCAGAACTGCGATTAGTCATAGTGATATGGAAGCCTCCTCTGGTACAGAAGATAAAAGTGTGTTCAAATTATGACCCTTTGGGCAAGGGTAGGGCCATTATGGGTCATCAAAGTAGGATGTCATAGAAAAAAAACCTTTTTTAAAAGAATTTTCTCGAAAACAGCAGGTTGTGATTGGTCATATTTTATATCGAAGCATCCCCAGGTAGTGTAGTATCAAGTTTGATCAAATCATGACCCCGGGGTAGAGTGGGGGCAAAAATGGGGTATCAGAGTTTTAGGTATAAATACATGGGAAAATCGTTACAATTCTTCACAAAGTCATGATTATTAATTTAAAAGCATCATTAAATTGCATCGTAACAATACAACAAAGCCATTATGTGTCAAGGTAATTCAAAAGCATTCTTAGGAAGTATATATTTAAGTTCAAATCACCACCTCCTACATCGAACCCTCTTTAATAATACATGTATATTTAAACTTTTCAATGCTGAACTGATTTTTGTTATTACCTAGCTAGTTGCTCAGGTGAATGATGCGACCCCTGGGCCTCTTGTTATAATGTGATGACATTTAGGACATCTTATAAATGAATATGTTTTCTGGTGATGAAACACCCAACTACACACGCCAGATATTATTTATTATTAATTATATCCCTAAAATTTATAGACCTTAAAATTCTGAAAAATATTAAATGGTGGTCTGTAAAATTTTTTTAAATCACACTGAAACAATGAAATGTATATACTTGTATAAAACATCCTTATTCATAATCAATTAATATCAAAAATCAATTGAACGTGTATTTTATTTGCAAATGATTGACAAAATTATCAATATATTTGAAACTATTTAATTGCATTTTCAAACTATTGATTATAACCTTGACCTTACATTGTACTTGTAAGTATTTCCTTTCCTTGCTCTTTCCTAGTCTTGGTTAATGCTATCGCATTTTCTTTAACGAAACACAGTTCACCAGCCAGTCTGTAATTACAACTTTTTCCTTCGTCAAAAACTTTTAGAAAATTTAGAGCTAAGTTGATAATGTGTTTACTTGTATTAAAGAACTCAAGCTCTTGTTTACATGTTTTGACATTTTCCATTCCTCTCCTTTTTTTTATCTATCAAATTAATCAACAAATGTTAGTTCAGAAGACAAAGCAAATTTACTTAGTTTGTTATACATTGAAAAAGCGTTTGAGCAATAAAATGCTCTGTTCATAAAAGAAATTTGAAACGACAATTCAGAAATATCAGGTTTTTTTCTGCTATCATTAATGAATGAATGCAATCATTTTCCTATACAAACATGGGCGTGCGTTGTTTTAGCTCTTAAGACATTCTGAAATGATAATCCTTTTTCCTTTGTAGGAAATCTTAGAAGAAAAGATTTAGAGCTTAGATGATAATGTGTTTACTTGTGTTAAAAACACAGGCTTTTGTTTATATAATACATGTATGCGTTTTAAGATTGGCAATCCTTTTTTGTAATTTATGGAGCAGTATTTATTCAAAACTTCTCCATGAAAATAAGTATATTGAAGTGGCCTGTTGTTCATTATTTAGATTTAATATTTTCAGTAAAGAAAAGTATCTACGAGGGGTGATCAAAAAGTTTGCAAACTAATTCTCTATCTACCTAACTACAGTTCTGACAAGAATGAAATGATGTTAAAATGACGTCAATATAGAGGCGACTGTGATGAAAATGGATGGGTCAATCGTACTTGAACAAAGAACTATAATAAAATTTTATGTAAAACTAGGTGAATCCTTCACGGAAATATACGATGATTTACATAAAGTTTATGGGGAATGTGGGCTTTCAAAATATACAATAAGTAAGTGGATGAAACGTTTTATTGAGGGAAGAGAGACGGCAAAAGATGATGATAGATCTGGGTGCCCGCTGAACGTAAGTACCGAGATAAACGTGTCTGGGGTTGAACAATATGTAATGAAAGATCGAAGAGTTACGATTAGGGAGATAGCTAATGATCTTAGCATGTCTTATGGAACAGTTCAAGAGATTTTAACGAGTAAGCTTAACATGCGGCGAGTTTGTGCGAGATGGGTCCCTCGCCTCCTTCTGCCATAGCAAATGACGGTCCTACGTTAGTAGATATGAAAAAGAACAAAATTATTACATGAATAGAATCATCTTATGTGATGAAACTTGGGTACATTTCTATGAGCCAGAAAGTAAACAACAAAGTTCAATTTGGAAGCATCCTTCCTTGCTTCACCAATAAAAGCACGCGTAACCAAGTCAGAAGGGAAGGTTATGCTCATTGTTTTCTGTGACATCAACGGTATAATTCTAAATCACATGGTACCACCCAAACCTTCAGTTACTGGGGACTACTATGCACGGGTTATCAAATCAGATTTGATGAGAGCAGTAAAGAGAAAGCGCCCAGATCTGATAAGATCTGGATTCATTCTGCACCATGATAACGCACCTAGCCATAAAAGTCGGGTTGTGATGGACACCATGGAAACACTGGGTATAGAAAACCTAATTCATCCCCCCTACAGCCCAGATTGTGACGTCTTGCTATTTCCAGTTTTGAAAGATAACCTACGGGGAGAAAAATATGAGTCCCTGGAAGATCTTGGTACTGCTGTGAACAAGTTACTTAGGGTCATGTCACGTGATGGCTTGGATCACGTGTTTCGCGCATGGGCAGACCGATTGGGAAAGTGCATAAAAACTAGAGGGGCCTACTTTAAAAAAGAATAAACTCAAAATCTCACTTTTAAAAATATTTTAAAAGTTATTCAATTAGTTTGCGAACTTTTTGATCACCCTTCGTAAATTCAGTATCTATAGAAACAGTCAACTCAAGTAAGATTACTTCCTAAGAAAAAAAATTGACGGTCATTCAATTTTTACTATAGCTATTGATGGGCAAACGGAGTTTTACGAAAAATTATTGCATTTCATTCTGTTAAGGGGGCCGACTATAGTTTTATTGTGTGAAAACTACAATAGCGAAACTCTTCATTTTTATACCATATATAACTTATATTAACTTCAGTGTACATGCAAAGTTTGGGGGAAATCTACCGTCCAAGTATTTTTGAGGGACCGTCTCAAAATACAGGTACATTTACTATAGGATTATATAGGAAAATGCCAATTTTTAGCACTTTAATGCAAATTATACAAATACTACAATAGACATTTTGTTCATACTATAACATTTGATGAGCAATATTATACACTATATGTAAGAAACACAAAATTCTACCGTCTTGTTACCAGAGGGGGCATCTCAAAATGCAAAAAATTAGCAAATTTTACTACTTTTATAGAGTATTACAAAATATGACGTGCACAATGGATTCACATGAAAACATACTAAAAATATAGGAGATGTTCTCAAATTTCTATGTTTTAAATTTCAAGAGCGTATGTTTATTACTTTTTCTTAAATAATATTTTTATGACCCCTTTCTTTAAGACCTATAGATTATCATAACGTCAAAAACACACTGCAACGACGTCAACCTACCTATCAATTGCAAAATCGGTTAAAAAATCAGTTATATCAAATTGTAATTACATTTTTATACCTATAATTTCTTAATTTTGTTTAATTTTAATAACTAAGCGAAAAAGTTGCATTAAACAGTAAATACGCTTCATTTTACTATGATGCGCGAAATATTGGAAACTATAGTCGGCCCCCTTAAGTAAATTAAAGTATTTTGATGCAATCATGCCATCGCAATTTCCAAAAAAAAATTACGTCACGATTATCATAATAAGTAAAATAAAAGAGCAAACACAGTCAATGTAATTGATTCTCTGTCACTAACATAAACTTGTAGCATAAATGCATTTGACACAGTTGAGTTGCTAAATGTAATTATTAATAGTGTTTTCTGGCAGGAATTATATGCTTTTCCGTCTGCTCCGCGTCGGGTAACATTTTGTCCCTTGGGGGCTATCATGAATAATTTTGCATCCAATACAAATCAATATTTGCACGACTTCTTAACATTTACCAATATTGATTTCCATGAATTCTAGAATTAAAATTTAATCCCTTCAATAAAGATTCTGGCCTATGGGAATTTAAAAATACTTACTGAATGACACGGTGTATGTTTAAGAAGTAAAGCAAACTCCTTGAAGAGTTATCTCCCTTGGATTTCAATCAATATTTTTTCCCATAAACTCTTTTTTGTGAAAAATATATTTTGAAAGTTTTTTTCCCTTTATTCAAATACATCTTTCCACCAAAGCATTTTTTTATTTTCAAAGTATTTAAAGTATTTCCATACACGTCAATACATTTTTATTAATTAATTATTGATTGGGTAATTAAATCTATTAAAATATCGAGTGGTAAATCCTATTTCACTCTAAATTGCTGTGAACTAGTTTCAGAGTTTATAACATGATGTGTATTTTTAAAAGGTTAGAGAATTATGTCCTTATATGGGTCGGATACGTTTAGGACTTTAATCACATGTATATTAACTTTGTCAATTCCTTTGTTGGCATATTGAAGTTAATGAAAAAGACGGATAGTTTTAGCTGCATGTTCCTTAGTAAAACATGTGAATTTAAAAAGCCTACTTTAAGTAATATTTATAATAACAAACCTATTCCGAACCTATTTTCTGGTGTCGAGGAATCAAAAATTGACTTTCCTTGAACTTTTCAAGAAGACTATTTAAAAGTTTCAAAGGGACAGAGAAAAGTTTGGTTCGAATTTGTTGAAGATCTAACATTTGGTTTACATTAAGTAGTAATGGATCAAAATTGACATCGTGTATTAAAGGTTTATTTGCGAGGTAAATTATTGACAAACAAGTTGATGAGCAAACAAGCTGTCTCGTTCAAAGTTATCATTTCGTAAGTATTATGATGGATACAATGACCTTGACAGCAAATACAGTTTATGATTGAGTGGAATACTGACTGACGATTTTCATAATACTTTTTAATCCATTATTCATACACTGAATTGAAGACAGATTTTTCCGTTATTTCCAGATTTTGACAAGATGCACACGTCGGGTGTGATTGGTCGGCAGGGGATCCTCACTCCTCCATGGAACCTGATCCCATATCTAATGTTTTGGTAGTCCTTGTTTGCTCTGGTCGTATTTTAGTATAGCTTTATGGACTTTGATATTGAATACTGTTTGTTCCATGTCCTTCATTGGAAGACCGATGTCCATAATTACGCTTACGTCTCTGTGTATGGGTAAAACTCCCCATCACATTTACATTGTGAAACTGTGAAAAGATTTCCAACACTATCGACATTATCATTACATCTATAGGAAAAAGCTTTACCAAGCTTTCTAATCCAAAATTTTTCTCGTTGTATACGGAAAGGTGTACTCAGTAAAGGAGTATTGGTATGGTGGCAATATTTTTTTTTTCATTTTAGAACTCTAACTTTGAGTGACAAAATAGAATGATCATATAAATTAAATTCTTGTATAAAAGCTGTTAGTTTCCATTTTTTTTTAAATCTATGACCTGATATTCTTTTATTAGGTTTTCTATTGGTTTCTCCAAAATCAACACGTCCACACAGATTATGTTGTATTCCGTAAACAACATTAAAAGATTTTCACTTCAGATTTTCCAAAGTCTTTAATGTTATACAAACAATTGTGTGAGTAGATTGACTGATCAGTGAATTTTTTATATATATTAAATAGAAAAAATATACAATGACTGTTCGGAGATTTTGAAAAGAAACCCCAGTAGGAAAGGAAAAGACGGTGTGTACGTTATTTATCCCGACAGACGGAGAGAGGTCTACTGTGACATGACGACAGATGGAGGAGGGTGGACGGTGAGTAGTGTGTTTTATTGTCAATATTATACATCGACAACACTTGGAGAGAGGTTTAATGTGACATGACGACATATCGAGGGGTATGGAGGGTGAATAGTGTGTTTTATTGTCAAAGTTATACATCCACAACACCTGAAGAGAGGTCTTCTGTGACAGAACGACAGCTGGATGAGGGTGGACGGTGAGTAGTGTGTTTTATTGTCAAAGTTATACATCGACAACACTTGGAGAGAGGTTTACTATGACATGATGACAGATAGAGGGGGATGGACAGTGAGAAGTGTATTTCATTGTCAATATTATACATGGACAACACCTGTATAGAGGTCTACTGTTACATGACGGCAGATGGAGGAGGGTGGACGGTGAGTAGAGTGTTTTATTGTCAATGTTATACATGGACAAGACCTGTAGAGAGGTACAGGTAACTCTCGATACCTCGAAGTCCGCGGGACCAAGGAAAAACTTCGAGAGATCAAGAGTTCAAGTTTTCAAGAGTCCGGATTTTTCCGGGTTGGTATGACGAATTTGAAATTCGTCATACCGGATGTAATGATTTTCATGCAGTCTTTACCTTTTACACGTAAACAACGATATGTTTTCGTATTTTAGCTGAATATTTATTAAACTGAGTAAAGCAAAAAATACATCGTCAGTTCGTGTTTTTAAAATTTTTTTCTATCATACGGATATCATTCTACTCATTCGTTATATGAAAACGGCATTTACCAGCGTCGCGTGGTACAAAGCATTATGACTTTTCTAAACATGTGAACGAAATTCAGTATGTATTTGTCCAACAAAAGTCTGAATTTTCATAATTCGTTAAACTTTGAAACTGATTCAAAATAAAAATTTATTTCATGAATTGTTTCGTCTCCTCGTAATCTGCAATTACAATACGTTTCTGAATTATCGTAATACAGACGATGATAATCATTTTGATAGCATATAGGCACCATAAGATTAATTATAAATCAATTATCACCTTGTAGAATAAGTGTCACCTTAATAAACACCCCGTTTCACGCGACCCGCGTCTTCTGCCGGGTGTCATTAAATGTCCAGGTAAAGCTGCTAAATATGTAACTTTGTATACATATAGCCACTTCGAGGTATCAAGGGTGAATTTTTAAAGAATATGCACAGCGGGACTGCAATATACTTTGAGGGATCAAGGGTTTCGAGAGATCAAGAGTTCGAGAAATCAAGAGTAAATTTGCTTAGTTATATAGGGAAAAAATTCAGGACCGGAGACTCGCTTCGAGCGATCAAGAACTTCGAGAGATCGAAGTTCGAGCCATCAAGAGTTACCTGTATATAGTAGCATTACGACAGATGAAGGGGAACGGAAGATGAGTAGTGTGTTTTATTGTTTAGTTATACATCGAAAACACCCGGAGAGAGGTCATGACTACAGATTGAGGAGGGCTGGCGGTGATATTTTTATATTAGAATGATTATCGAATGATCCATAAAAAATGTTGTATTACCTAGAATTGTCATTCAACAAGTAACGCAAAAACTGTTTATCTAAATAAATATAAAAGAAATGAATTTAATCTTTTCACATTTTTTAATCAAACCCCATGAATTTTGTCATAAAAAAGAAATTCGCATTTAAAGTAAGCATGGAGAATGCACTGAGATGTAAACAGTAAAGAAGAGAAAAAGGAGATCAAATTTGAAAAAAATGTACTTTTCTACATAAAACGCCGCATAACTCATTTTAAAGATACCATTTTGATATGTGAGAAATTTAATCCTTAAGAATTTGCAGTTTACCAGTGGATTTTTAAAGATGCAAAAGAAAGAATATTTACATTGAAAAACATAAAGACATTTAAAATATCATCATCACAATTTTTTTACAGACAGAGGAAATTCTATTGATATTTCTATTAGAGAGGTGTCCTATTTTCTTTCAAATGCCCTAGAGAAAATACGCAATATATGTGCCAACTGTCTGTTACAAAAACAAATCTTTTAATAAGATGATGAACTTGAGAGGTCTTAAGATGCTTTTTTATTTTTCATATATTTAAAGAGGCTAAGTAAATCATGTACATACACCCTAATGTAGGATTAGCAATGGTAACTTTAAGTTTCAAATTACATTAATAAGCGTTTAACAAATTGGGTTAGGGGGTTAGGGTCCTGCAAAGTTACCGGTCTTTGGTATGATGCTCCTGGATCTGACAACGCACCTGCAAATCAGCTTAAACATTCAATAATATGTTGGAGAAAAGAATGTAGACAATTTTTTCCATCATTCGTACGAGGGCCGTTCAAAAATTACGCGGACTTGTTGCACAGAAAAAATATTTGATGACATAATCGGGCAAAATGTCACACATAATATGAAAAAATCTTTACTTATATGGTCTTCAAAATTTCATATAAAAATGTTATCAATTGGTATCGATTTTGAGTGTTTTATCAGGACATATCATTAAGTCACGGAGCAGCAAAATCTTCGACGTCACAGGCATTATAAAAAAAATTTGTGATTAAGCTTTCATTTTCTTATCGTTTTTCCAAGAGTACCTGTACAGTTTTAGTTACCTTATCTACTCAACATCCCAACACCATTTCTTGTCAAGCTTAAAATCTATTAAACAAGGAAAGAATATTCTTTTTTTGTTTTAAAACAAAAAATGCAGGTATTTATGAGATATAGTATGATATCGGTGACTCTCAATCACGTTCTTTACAGTCCGGATAAAGTTTTCGTTGATAAGCGTCTTCCCGTCCTCCAGTATAGCCTCTTTACAGAGATTCAGCGGTCTAAAATTTCATTTTGCTAATTGTGGACGAATGTCACGAATACTCTATTTTAATAAATGTTTAATTATGCATATTTTGGATCTATGTTGGCGATACCTCTAGCCTCACACGCAATTTAACAAAAGTGTGGTGCGCCGTCAATTCAGGAGACGTCATCTTTACAGTCGTTTTCACGGGAATCGCATCGGAGAAAAATCACCATATTTATGTTAGTACATAAAAAATCATGCCAGAAATCTAAATGCATAATAATAGAACAATTTAAAGAAATATCTGAATATCTGATCGCGAATTATCGAAAAATAATGAGTTAAATTTTGGAATCCGCATGTTTTTGCTTCGATTTTTTTGTCATGTACCGTACCTCTTCATCAGCGATATCAACATACCGATAATTTTCGTAGAATTTTTCAGAAATACATAAATTTTGCCCAAAATTTATTGGAATCTTTTAGATACAGTTTTCTCTGAAATTTCATAACTATATAACGTCTGTAAGAATAAATAATAACAGAGTCTGCGTAATTTTTGAACGGCCCTCGTATAAGCTGGATATCAGCAATTGTGAAATCTTGAAGGTAGGTCGCGGTTTTACGAACGAGAAAGCATATCCTGAAAATTTGATATAACGTTCCTCAGAAAAATTCTTACCTGCAATGCTCTTTCCTATTAGTCGCAAGCTTGTATATAACCATAACTCTCAAACATTTGTTGATTATAGGTTCTATTAATCAAATTGCCATATGCAAAATGTAAAACACATTAACATGCATTTACAAAGTAGCTTGCAAACTTACTGCTGCTGTTATAAGATATACCAGGATCATTCAATAAGTAATGCAATACATAACATTTCATAATAAAATGTAAAGAATTTTATTTAATATTTTCATATTTGAAAAGTTCTATTAAAGACCTCCTAAACACAGAAAATCCCACGAATTCTCATATTGTCCTCGCAAGGAAATTCATTTTTTAAAGTAAGCATGGTCACTACACTGAGCTGAAACCAATTTTTAATGATCTCTGCCAAAGAGATGAATAAAGAGCCTATTTGAAAATTGTACTTTTTACAAAAATCGCCAAAAAACCCATATAATGATATGATGTTTTATATGTAGAAAAATTATTTTAACGCTGGATACTTTTCAGACGGATTCAGTAATTCAGACGAAAAAAACGAGTTCAAATATAACAGTCGATTTGGTCAATTGAAATTCATAGAGACACCCAGAATATCGACTTTATGTGCCACATGAAATTAGTTAATGATATATTTGCATGGAAAGACATTGTTAAGATACTGAACAATACAGCATTTTGTAGAATTTTTAAGAAGGAAAAACACATAACAACACTTCCATCAGACAGGTGCCCTATTTTTTCACAAATGCGCCAGAAAGAACATGCGTTAAATATGCGAACGGTCTATTAAAAAAATGCTTTAACAAAATAGAAGATTTGATAAACTTTCTAAATGTATGACGAAATATGATTGCGAGTTTTATAGCCGTAAAAAAAATTAATGATAAAAAATGTGGAATCAAAGAAAAGGGTGTTGTTCCATTATGACACAATGGTTTCGTGTTTTATTAGTTTTCGTGTACTAGTATTTAAAGAGGTCAATTAAAACATGTACATACATCCAAATGAAGGACTATTTTATTTTTTAGAGGAAATTTTGCATTATTGTGAAAACGAATCAATCAAAATATTATTATCGTGGCTTTAAGCCTTTCACTCAACCTAACTAGAAACCAACTCCCCAGCAAAGCTCCTAAGTAAGTAACAGCATTCTAAACACAACTATTATTCTGAAGTTTTACATTAACCAAACATTGAGAATGAACCTTAACATAGCAAAAAGCACTTGAATATATATATATTTTTAAATTCTACCGTAATCAGGGGGGAAAGAAGATAATAACTACCCACTGAATTGGTTTCTAAACCATTTACCTACTGAGTATAACGTGTGTTCAAACAATTCTATATTAACTATTGTTAAAAAACGCTTTTATATCACAAAATAGTACACTGGCACATATTTTAACTTGAAAATTTACTCATAATTAACACAAATGAAACATTGGGTTTATTTTTCTCTTTTTGTTAAAGAATTAAAAATGAACAATTTAGCATTGTTAACAGGTGATTCAGAAACGAGAAGATGGTGATGTTGATTTTTACAAGACATGGATAGAGTATCAACAGGGATTTGGGAATGCAACTAAAAACTATTGGATAGGTATGATCTTATAAATATTTTATTTAACTTGATTAATTTGAAAAGTATACTGTGAACAAAATCTTATTCGCCTGCGAGAAATTTTGTGCGAGGGAGACGTCACCGCAAATATTTCTCGCCACGAACCGGTCCATAGAATCTCTGTATCTATTTAGAACAAATTCAAAAAAGCTTGATTGCGAAAATTTATCGTCGCAAATTAGTTTAATCGGTGTAAATCGAGAAATAAAGAATTCGCGAATAAAAATTGGTTTGCAGTATACATATATTCATGCCAAGTTCACCTGAAATGTTCAATATTTCAATAATTAAAGAAATGTGGAAAATATTGATTAAAAAAGCAAAGACGTCCCACAACATTCGATCTAAAAAAAATCAATAAACAATACAAATTCTTGAAACGGGTATAAAAACAAGACTCACAGGAAAATTCGGAGGTTGGGTCAGGTGTTTAATGGACTGTGCATCCCCAGTTGTCCGGGCACTCCTGCCATGACCCTATGCATTAATTTACTAGCGCTCTGGATTCCTTTCTTTACAAAAGTTTTTAAACATCAAATGAAACAGTTAACACTGTAAATATTTAGTGTCTGATCGTTTATTGTGGCCTAGTTGGTTTTTATTTGTTTTGTTATTCTATTTCCTTTGTTATACCCCCTGCTTGAAAAGCGGGAGGGTATATAGTAATCGTTAATTCCGTCCGTCTGTACGTCTGTCCGTCCGTCCGTCCGTCTGTTACGCTTTGGGGTACCCATCTCTTATCCGCAACTCCTCTCATTCCACTGAATGAAATTTGATGCAACTTTCACAGAATCTTTATTACATATTGCCATTGTGCACCTCCTATTTTACTTTTTGATCCGACACATATTTTGGGTTTCCCGGCCACAGGAAAACATGAACTTTTTCACCAGTTATAACCATACGGGAGGCGGGGGGTAACATTTAGTGAGCTCATCGCTCACAGTACCTCTAGTTTTCTATGACTTTTAACTTTTTTCTTTCTCCCAAAGAAGAGACAAGTCCTTCTAAAAATATACTGAATTCATTTGTTCGTGTTGTTGCTTCTTTTTTGTGTTGTTTTATGGACTTTGGTATTGATTACTGTTCGTTATCTCCATATCCTTCCTTTGAGTTATATGTTGTTTTGCTTAATATATATGTAGGGAATGACGCAATTCACACCTTAACAAGGGATAAAGACCAAGAACTTCGGATAGATCTCCAGAGGCATAACGGAGAACAGGCCTATGCTGTGTATTCTACATTTTACATCGAAGATGAAGACAATGAATATACACTTACAGTGTCTGGATACAGCGGAACAGCGGGTGAGTAGTGTGATTTGTCATTGTATTAGTTATGTTCAAGACATGATGTAGTTGCAATATCGACAGAGTAATCTTTTATAGTTTGTTTAATATTTCTCTAAAGTTGTGTGTAAAATAGAACACTTTCTTTTTAAAAAAAATTTTCTTACTTTTAATACCCACGATTTCGTGTCGATATCGAATATTTTCGGCACAATTTTTGTTGCTGTATTTCTTTATGCAATACTTGTCAGAATGTACTTTTTTATTATTAGCTGGCTTAGTTTCGATATCAAATCATGATTGTTAAAAGTATTATGTTATATCAATATTCATCTTAACCTAACTCTTAATCTTGCCCAATACAATGAAAATTCGTAATCTTTGTTTGTTATTTTAT